CCCCGCCCTGCCCTGACGACCACCACGGTGCGGCCGGCATTTGTCTTCTGAAAACCTTGGGCGTCCCCGGCCCTTCTCTTGCGCAAAGCTCACCCACCTCCCAGCCTTCTCCTCTGTAAACCTGGGGCACGCATCTCCCAGCCTCTCTCTTTTCCAAACCTTGGGGACCCCCTGAATTTTTCTTCCAAATCCTTGGCAACCGCCCAGCCCTTCTCTTCCAAAAAGCTTAGGCGAGTCCCTGATCTTCTCTTCTGAAAACCTCCAGCATGCCCTAGTCCTTCTCTTCTGAAAACCTCAGATACCCTCAGCCCATGTCTTCTGAAAACCTTGGGCATGGCCCAGCCCTTTTCTTCTGAAAACCTCGGGCATGTTCCACACGTTTTCTCCTGAAGACCTCACGCATGGCCCAGCCCTTCTCTCCCCAAAACCTTGGGCGTGCTCCAGGCCTTCACTCCTGAAAGCCTTGGGCAAGTCCCTGACCTTCTCTTCCAAAAACCTCAAGTATGCCCCAGCCCTTCTCTCTCAAAAACCTTATGTACCAGTCCACAAACAACCTGGATTCCAGCATCTGACGTCTGCTCATGTTGCTCGTGCTACGTGCAGGACAGTCCTGACCACCCCAGGGTCCTGTCACCCTCACATCTAAACAACGGATGTGACTCCATGGCATGCAGAGCCTAATCTGATTTCTGGATAATTAATTTTTCTACTGCTGATGAATGCAAATAAGTCATAGACAACATATTTCATTTTGAGTTCTCAAAGGGGTTCATTGAACATTCATTAAGCTTTGCAACACCTCTCTGACACAAATGTGGTTATTCCCTACCTTACGAGGCCAAACGGGCAAGTTTGAGGTCATAGGAAGGGAGTTGCTACCTCCGCTAACCACTGGAGTCCCATCACCAGCGTTGCCTCTCTGATCCTCTGCCTGAATTCGTGGAGTAGGCTGAAATTATTCTCAGCATGCATTCCTCAGGTCCCTGTGCAGGAAAGTATCTACAAGGGATTGCCAAGACTGAATTAATCACAAGGATTTGAGAACGAAATAAGAACCTGGAACAGGTCCTGTAAAAGGACATGGCATTTTATGGACTTTTTTCTATTGCAGGTCGCTGAAAAATCACTGAAACAAGTGTGCAGATCAGTAACCTTTTTTTTGTTTTGTTTTGTTCCATTTGAATGAAAACTGAGTATCATGATAATGGATTCAGCCATTTGCTGATGCAAAAGCTATTTCCAAAGTGCTGAGTGCCCACAGCTCCAATAGAAGTCAGTGGAACTGGAAAGAACGACAGCTACGTACTGGCCCAGCTAGCCCCCTGTCTTCTCTCTGACTCTGGCTGGTAGGGGCTGCCAAGAAAAGAGATAAAAAGGAGGCTATTTCATAGTGATGCGTCCCTGGTCTTGACTTCCAGCCAGAAGAGACATCTTTGCATTTGTATGCTGCACACCTATTTTAGAATATCATTTCTCAGTCACCTCCAGGAACTCCCCTAGATGTCCTTGATACTGTCTTTTAGAACTCTGGCTTGGGATGTAACCAAGTATTTACTGTAATAATGCCTAATTAGAGGAAAACTGTAGGTCAGATACACCTCTCTCTCAGAACAGTCCTACAGCAGTGTAACTCAGAGGAGTTATGCCTGCCTTGCACCTCAGAATGAAGCTAATGTCGTTGTGGCCCGGACAGAAGAGTGACTGGTCCCCTGGATGCAACAGCAGGAAAGGTCACTCATTGCAAGACTCAAGAACCAGGGAGGGAGAAGTGAGCTTTATCAGGACCGGGCAGGGGGTAGGGAAAAAAGTACTTCTTCATTTCCCTCCTCTTTCTGAAGAGCAGTAAACTTCATTATTGTTTAAGTGCTAGTATTACTGCCTTCTTTCATCAACGTTTGAGTTCTTCTCCGGCAAATGCATCATGCCCCAGGGCAATTTCAAGGTGTGATTATCTTCAAAGGCTTAAAAGCTGTCTGAGACTGCAGCGTTTGTGTTTTACTGAAGTGTTCTTGTAGTCTCCTTGGAGCTGAGCACCACACCTCCGCTGCACATGGCCTCCCTCAGATGCCAGGCAGGAGGGGAACAGTGGTCATTTCCGGGGCACTTTAAAGGCTTTTGCGTCGAGCACTGGTATAATATAATATAAATCCTTTATAAATAAAAGTGGACTTCCACTATATTTTCCAGTGTCTTGTAGCTGAGTCATGTTGTTATTATTGATTTAACAGATGTGCAGTTTATTATAGGTATTATTCACTTCTCTGAACTGCATCTATTTGCTGGAGAGGCTGCTCTGTTAGCCTGTCGGCAGAATGGCTCTATACTGCTATAAGGAAGTAGGATAATTTACTTCTTTATGCAAGCCTGCCATCTAGGCAAATCTCTGTTACAAGTTGCTATAAAAAGGTTAGTGTTTGCTTTAGTCTCTCCTTAAGCCTGTTTTTACCATTTCATTTATACATATGCATTTATCTGAGCAGTCAGTACTTTTCTATTTATAGAGAAGAAAAATAGTCCCTGTCCCTGCCACATATCTTCTGACCTGAGAGAAAATGCAGTTTAGGCCAAAACACTAGACCTGGCTGCATGCTGCATTACAGCCTGTTTATTTTATTCCAGTGATCTAAAGGGAATAAGAAAGCTAATAGTTGGAGTCTTTCCTTCTCCTCTACCCTCACCTCTCCCAAAATAGTGTGTGGGCACCAGGGCGGGGCAGCAGAATAGCCCAGTGCTACCCATTCATCTTTAAACCCCAGGCTAAGGGTACCTCTTGGAAATGAGTAGCTATTGCACTGCTGAAATTTGCTTTTTTTTTCCTCCCCTATTGGAACCTGCTGGCAGCCAAAGCTACTCTAATTTACACCGAGGGCTAACCAGATACTCAACTGCCTTTGAGGTTATGATCCTACAGAAGTGCCTTAAAACCTCCTCTGGTTTCCCGGTGTGACAGATGAGCAGTGACACAGCTGAGGAAAGGTGTGTCTGGAGAGGATATCGGAAATAAGAATATAACTGACTGTGAGGGAAGTTTCAAGGAGAAAGGAATGGCATGGAAGACAGGCCGTGAAGAGGAGAAAATATGAAGGAGACATCCAGAGTCAAGTTAAGTGGTGGCAGGCATTCAGGGTGCTTGAGCAGATACACAGGGGAAGGACTGGGCTAAGTTGCAAATTGAACAGAAATCAAGCAGTTCTCATTCAAGTACATTAGCTATTTTACAGTTCTCTGCTCAACAGTCTTATAATGCTTTTAGCCCTAAAGGGTAAAAAGGGGTAGGAAGGGTAGGAAATGCTACCTACATCCCAACAAGTAAACTGCTCCCATTCTTCAGTTCTTGTAGCAAAGAGCATCACTAGTTCACCGTCCAGTTCACTTCCAATTTTGTTTGAGTGATGTGGGCTGACTCAAGGTGCACGCTCCAAGGATGCATCTCCATGCAATGCTGCAGCTACCAAGCACCCAGGGAGGAGGGAAGGCTATTGAAAAGACCTGGAAGAGTTGCATGCAGCAGCAGCAGCAAAATGTGGCTCGTGGTCCAATTTGGTGACAGCGGGTGCTTGTCATGCAAATCTCTTACATTCATCTGCAGCACTATCACCTGCAACTACCAGGGACTTGCCAACAGCAAGTAGTAGCTGCAAGGCCCACGTGTCAGCAGGTTCATTGCACTGCACATTGCACGGATGCAGAGCAAGGACCAGTCCCTGTCCCAAAGCTCTTATATTCCCAGTTAACAAGGAGACTGAAGGTGAGATTAAAATGTACAAGAAGAAGAACAGCAGGTTGCAGGCATGTAAGAAAGCCATATTTCTGTATCCCAATCTGTTGAATTCATCTGTTCTACCAAAATACCCTTTGTCTGATATTGTGAACCCGTAGCCGTCATGGGTTGGAGCAGAACCA